AGAAGTACCCCATCTTCTCCAGGGGTGGTGAGGCCGGGGCTGGGGTGTCAGAGAGGTGTGGGTAGGTAACAGTACCTGCCAGGAAGCACACGGCTCTCTCACCTGAGGATAAGAGGAAACGAGGTGCCCTACTGGGACTGACCATGGCCCCTTCCCGTTTCCCTACACTGCCTCTGCTTGGGTCATCCATCATGTGGGAGTGGTTGCAGTTTTCCTACAGGAAACAAAACCACACTACAGTGGTCACAAAGTCAGCCTGGCACCTGCCTTGGAATTCCCAAAGCACTTCCAAGTAAACATTAAAAAGGAAGGCAGTTTAGTTATTAACAAAAAATATATATTTCCTTATGCCCAAAAGAATTGGAAGTTGGGTCTGGAAGAGAGATTTGTCAACACATGCTCATAACAGCACTTTTCAGAATACCCAAAAGGTAGGAACAACCCAACTGCCCAATCGATGGATGAACAGGTTAAAAAAAAGAAAGTGTATCCATGCAATGAAATATTACTCAGCCCGAAAAAGAAAGGAAGTTCAACCACATGGTACAACATGGAGCTCATGCTGGATGGAATAAACCAGATGCAAAAGAACAGATACTGTGTGATTCCACCTCCGTGAGGTGCCTGAAGTAGCCAAATCCATTAAGACAGGAGGTAGAAAGGTGGTTCCAGGGGTGCAGGGAGGGAGAGACGGGGAGCTGGTATTTCATGGGCACATGGTTTCAGTTTTGCAAAATGAAGAGTTCTGGAGGTTGGTTTTACATGTAAATGTACTTAACAGTACATAACTGTATGCTCAAGATGGTAAATCTCAAAATATTTCTTGAGATATTTTCATGCTTAAAAACTAATAGTAAATCAGTTAAATAACCACTCTTCATTGATTCCTTTATTTGTCATTTACTATCCCCTTGTTCACACGTGCATTTTTCTTTAATGATTAACTTAATAGAAAAGGCACTGACTTCTTACTTTCAAGTCCTAATCTAGAGGTCAGTGACCAGTGCATTCTACTCATTAAATATATTACAAGTAATAATATCTGTTTGGTTGTCATTTTGTTTTACTCCCAGAGAAAACATAATTCTCTTAGTGCATCGACCTCACTCCCTGCAGTGATGTTGCTGAAGGCTAGTGTAGTGGGACACTCGCCGCTCACTTTTCTCTGCATTGCTTCAATGCTGTCCGTAAAACCATGCACACTGGAGGATTCACGCCCGCATCTTTGGAAAGAGGAAACAAATTCAGAGAGATACACAGTTAACCAGATATCGGAAGGGGCCATGTTCTTTCTCTGCCCGCCCTCCTGCAGCGGCCCCAGCTGTTGTGTCCATGGAGGGCTGGAGTGGCCATGGTGGGGAGGATGGGGAGGCTGCCTGTCCCCAGGACCCAGGAGGACTGCACTGCCTGGGGAGCACACCATGCTGACAGCTGACCCCTGTCAAAGCATGCTCATTGTGCTTGCTGTGTGGGTGCTAGAAATACCTTCTAACACCCTTTTAACTTTTCTTTCTTAAAAAGCATTGCTCATTGCAAGCAAAATTTATTGACCTGCAGAGCAGAGACCATATTAGCTTAAGTGCAGTGTCAATAGCAGTGCCCATCAGCCAATGATGCCGACAGATGAGTCGCAGACTCAAGGGAAAAGGTCCGCTCTCACTGTGGGCTTCCGCCATCACCACCTGGACCTCCTTAGGATCTGTGGTAACTTTTTGCCACGTGGAACCCTTGCTTAGTCAACAGGAAATTCAGAAATATTCATTCATTTGTTCAAAACTGTACGTTGAGGGCCTGCTGTAAACTCCAGGGGCTCACATATCCCCCCGCCCTAAGTGTGCAAGAGGTGGCCCTTGACCTCACAGAGTTTACAAGTCCATCTTCCCCAGCTCATATGAACAGGGACTCTTAAATTAGAAGTAACCCCGAGGTCCTCTGTAATCCAGCCTCAGCTTTGCACTCATGCCATACATAATTCTTTCTGCAATATTCCTGGCACCATACCTGGCTTACACTGAAAGCTCCTGGTGTCATTGTAGTGAGGCATCTCTGGTTAGTACAGTTTTTCCTTAAAAATTGGGCTAAAACTGTTTCCTTCTCATTTCTATCCTTGCTTTACATTCTGCCCTCCTGAAAAATAATGATCATTTCTTTCCAGAATTGAAGTGTAGGATCTTCTCTGATTTCTCCTGTGACATGGTTTACCAAAGGCTCCTTACTGTCCAGTAGACTTCAGTGTCCGCCTGTGATCCTGAACTGCTACCGACTGCATCTCCTCAGGGAAGCCCTGAGACAGAGCTTTGCTTGCAGCCACCCACTGCCAGGCTTGTGACCACCTGGTCCTGTGTATGCCCCAGGCAAGAGTATTACAGGCACACCGGGACACCCCAGAAGAGAAGACACATGTGCTGGAGGAGGACCAGTAAAGACTCCCTGGGGAAGCCAGCCTGTGAGATCCATCTTACAGAGCTCAGGGCATTTAGCCAATGTTGTTCTTTGAAGGCTACCAGGAAAGAGGCATCAAATGTCAGAACCAGGTTTTGTTCTTCAGTAGGCCACGGGGAGCCGAAGATTTTTGAGTTTTTCTTATGTGGGTACATTGCAAGAAGGCTGGACTTGCAGTAGAGGGGAGGCTGTATTGGAAGTGAGACCCGGCTTGGGAAGCTTGCTCATTGTGCTTGCTGTGTGGGTGCTAGAAATACCTTCTAACACCCTCTTAACTTCTCTTTCTTAAAAAGCATTGCTCATTGCAAGCAAAATTTATTGACTTGCTGGCCATTAGCTGGGTCATTAGCGTCTGTACCAGGGCAAGAGCCCACCCTCTCCTGCTCTCGATACTCTCATACTTTCCAGTTTCGCTCATCTAATGGGTGTGAATTGGCTTTTCATCATTTTAATTTGCCTTTCCTTGATTACAAGTGAGATTGGGTGTTCTTTCATAGGTTATTAGTCACTCCTTTTGCCCAGTATTAAATATGTGTCTGTTTCTTGATATGCTGGAGTTTTTTATTCATCCTAGTAACTTATCTTTTGACTTTTAAATATTTACATATATCTTTTTCCAGGCTGTTCCTTATCCTTTACTTATTTTTAATGTCTTTTTCTATAGAAACTTTTACATTTTTATGTCATCACATCGTCACTCATGTCCTTTAGGGCATATTCTCTGGTTACATTACCTAAGAAATATGTCTACCTCAATAGGGCAAATGAAAGTTCCAAGTGTTTTCTTCCCATGTTCAGAATCATAACTGTAGATGTCATACCTTTGTTCCAGGTTGGATTTATGTGGGTACCTGGTGTGAGGTGGGAATCTAATTTTATTTCTTTCCAGCCAAAAGTCAGTTGGATCATCAGCTCTGTCCCTATTTCATGCACTTCATCTATGCACTACCCCATACTGGGTGAGGTGTCCTTCTGGGTTGTTTCATATCTTCCATTGATTAATTTGTCTAGGCCTGGGCCAGTCCCATATGGGATTAATCAGCATAGCTTTGCAGTGTGATTGATTCTTGGTAAGGCAAGTCCCCTATCTCTGTTCTTTTGGTTTTATTTATTACTGAAGTTATCATACCTATTTATGCCATTACTCTTCATTGTGAATTTCAGAAATGGTTGGCCAAATGCTTTCAGGATTTTTACTGGAATAGCATTGATCTCATAGATTAAATTTGAGGAACTGACATCTGTACAGTATTGTGTCTTCTCATCTATGAATGAACTGTTTCCTCTCCAGTGACTCAGACCCTCTTTTATGTCCTTCAATGAAAGATTATAACAACTTATACCTTCATGCTTTTTCATTAGTTGAAATGTCCAATATTGAAGTTCCAGACCACAGAACAACTCTACAGTAATAAAACCTATGGTAATGAAAAACACATTTTAAAGTAGGTTTGAGTTTTGTCAGACTGGGAAGGTAAAGCTAGCTTTTATTTTCTCCTGTGGGTAACTCGCCTTCCTGTATATATCAACCGTAATTCATGCACATGTACCATTTGCCATTGCCAAGCAGAGTCCTTGAGGACATGAGAGACTTACACCCCTTAATCGACATCATTCTATCAGTGGGCACTTGGTCTAGCAGCTGTTCAATAAACAGTAAATCTACGAGCTGCATTATGCTACATATTTTCTACCTACAGTAAAATTATGAATGATTTTGTTGAAGGCTGCTTAAATTAAGAATCACTTTATGTATGGCATATTCCTTTCTTAATGGTCCATTCTTCTTCAGATCACTTTCAATATTCTACCAGCAGTTGCATCCAGGTTTTCTATATAGCATTATGGAAGATTTTTAATCTCCTCTCCACGTAGCTTATTTGCCCCTATCTCACCTTCTTGAATATTTCCCATTCTCCATGACTGCTCATAATTTGCTAAAGTGACACTAGTTCCAATCCCTGGTTTTCCCATGAAGTGATTAATCACATCAGCACTGATATTAAAATCTCAACCCATTCCAACCCACACACAAAAATACACTTTGTACATTAACAGACGGTAACTTTCTGTACTGAACATTTAGTAATATCTGTTAACTGTCAATTCACTATGTTATATACCTGAGACCAATATTGTATATCAATTATATTTCATTAAAAATATGTACACTTATTCTTTAGTATTACTATATTCCTTGTCATATAACCCAAGTTGAGTCTCACTTCAAAACCAGCACTAAGCATTTAGTTGGGAGACTCTTGTTGTGATATAAAGGACCATTAAAAACAGTGCTGTGGATAACAGTGAAACTAGATAAGCAGCATTCGATTGGTGGAACACCTCAGGCTTCTTACCTGCTGACTTACCTCTGATCTGAAAATTTCTACTTTGAGAATGATAGAAGGAGGAAAGAGTGTTCGCTCCAAATGCCACTGTTGCTGAGAAGGTAACTTGGTAGGGAATTTTAAGCAATTACAGAAATTCTCACTAAGCTTTCCCTTAATTAGTTAGCCAAACTGAAGTTAACCATTTTGTTGTCATTTGTGTTTCTCCAGCTTCCAATCATAGAAAAGATAAGAACCATTGCCCAGGCTGTGTATGGAGCCAAAGATATCGAACTCTCTCCAGAGGCACAATCCAAAATAGATCGTTACACGCAACAGGTAAAAGTCATGCTTTTAGGGAAAAAAAAATCCATCTTTAGCTCTTGAAATACTCACCTTGACTTGAGGACTGGTATGTATCTCACCAGCTAAACTTGGCTTAATCTACTTTATTGTCTACAAAGATTGAATTGATATCCTTGAGAGGATGTGGGCTATAGTTAGAACACTGTGGTGAGGATGTATACCCTCTGATACATACATCCCTGACTTGTGTGGTTATACATTTCTCTAATATGGGCAATTATCACATCTGTGCTGACCAGTCTTTAGCCCTCCTGCTCAGCCAGGAACATTGAAGATGTCCTTGGATGTGTGTCTCTCAAGTCAGATTTGGGTGATGTCTTCATTTGGGTGCTCCCTCTTCATTGCAGGCCTCTTACTATCTCTTACTACCTTAAAAATGTTAGCATGGTGCCAGGTTAGGCAAACAGCAGTGTGGCACAGAAAGACGGGTGTTTGGTGTTCTTTTTTATATGAGTAGTTCATTGGCTTGATGCTGAGATTGCCCACCAAGGTTGAAGGCTCCACCATCTTCTTCCTCTAGAGAGGAGTCAGCAGCACAGTCAAGTCAGCAAGCAGCTGTGAAAGGTGGCTGTGATTCCACAGCCCAAGCTAGTCCCATAATGGCCATGCTTAATGTGTTCCATTGCGCTGTGTTCAGCCACCCTGGCCAAAATGACCGGATGCCTTAAATGTCCCATCCAGTTCCGGGTGATAATGATAGAAGTCAGAGCACTTGAAGGGCTTGCTATCAAAAGAGCTGCATTAAGAGTATGATTGATTTTCTTTTTTGGTTCCCCAACTCCTAAGTCCTCTATGCCAAATATGACATTTCCTTAAACACTGTCAATGCCAGCCATAGTCATCCCCCAGTTTGATAAGATAGTCAACAACTCATTTTTTTCTGAGAATTTTCCATGTATGCTCTTGGCTATACATAAAAAAATGAATAAATGATTCCCAAACATTGGAATTGTTCTGTGGTAAAATTTTCACTCACATACACTGAAATAAATAATTTCATTGTCATATGAGTTTTTTTCCATGAGTTTTTAATAATACTTAAGGACTATCATTTATTGTAAGATTAGATCCTTCTTTTATTTGGTGTTAAAAAGTTCTTTCTCTTCTGAAGTAGTGATGATATGTGGCATATTGGGTTTGTTTGTTTTTTAATAGCCCTACTCGCAAAATATTAAATTGGCAGAGCTGTATCAGTTCATAGTATGATTTCAGTATTGGACTGACCTCTGAAACCCAAAATTCTGGGCACCATTTCCAAAGAGCAGTTGTGTTTGTCCCCCAGCAGAATTCTGATGAGTGTATAAGAGAATGACAGCATTTCAGAAATAGCCCCACCCCCTCAGACTGATAATAATCTAAAATCTTCAAAATAGTTTCAAGTTGAATCATAAGAAATTCTGTATGAGTTATCCCTGAAGACTGCATTCCTTTTGTTGCTGTCTACCGAGGGAATATCCCTTAAAAGTTATGTGTCAACTATGTGGTTGCCGTTAATTAGCCAAGTCTCTAAAGAGGCACTGTGTACCCTTTAATCAGAACCAGGCTGCAAGGACACTGTCCTTTTTGTGAGACACCGCATGTGGCTTCCTGCCCTTTCACCTTTGGAACTCTGGGTCAGGCATCGCCTTTGGTCCTTAAAAATAAGAGGCTTAAATAGTGACTTCATCTTAGTTCATATAATGTAATCACAGATCAAATAGCCATGATTCATAAACCAACACAAAGGAACCCTTTGCTTCCTGGCAGCCTCCAAGAATGAGTGAACAATGTGACTAAAAGCCTCATTACACAGCCTTTCTCCTGATTACCTTTCTGAGTCCTGGATACTAATACCCTTGGAAAATGTTCTCTGCAGCTGCTGCTGGGGCCGCTCTGCCTGAAAACAGCCACTTACCCAAACACACACATGATGCCACCCTCCCTTTCGGCACCCTCTCCTTACTCAGTAATAGACACCCGCTGCCTGCCAGGTGATGGTCAAGTAAAGATGAGTTTTTGCTCAGTCTTCTTGCTCAGTGAACAAGCGGTAACACACACCTGCTGTGTGCCTGGATCTTAGCCTCCTCCGGGGTTATTTGGAGTATAACTTAAACATGTCAAAGAGACTAATACTTACACTCAGTGAACACAGTCTCTTTCCTTTCTTACAGGGTTTTGGAAATTTGCCCATCTGTATGGCAAAGACCCACCTTTCCCTGTCTCACCAGCCTGACAAGAAAGGTGTACCCAGGGATTTCATTTTACCCATTAGTGATGTCCGGGCCAGCATAGGCGCTGGCTTCATTTACCCCTTGGTGGGAACGGTAAGTAACATTCCCCAGAAACCTTCCCCAGTCTCTGTTGTCATGATGTGTTAAATCCTTACTCTCTGCCAATTCTTTTGCAGATAAGGTGTTGGGAAGTGAGCAATAGTATATACTATTTTTCTAAACACTGCCGCTATGAAAAACCCTTCTGCCGTTGTGGTTTGGACTTTCCTTTTTTTTTTTAGATCATGTGTTCAGGATCCCTTGAGTCATAAAATGGATTCCTCTCATAGAACATGCTGAGTATAACTTGGGAGAATTCAGTCTGCTATTTAAATGGTAGAATGGCTTAATATAGTATTTCTGGACCCACTTCACATCCCTGCACTCAAAATGATTTTACTGCAGGGGGATAAAAGGAGCGTGGCAGTCAGGACCAGCCCCCAAAAAGGCTAGGGAACTTGTGTTTGAGCCTCTACGCTCTTTCTCAGCCCATCAAGTGGGAGGCTGTGCCTTAGAAAATGAGCTAATCACATGAGTAATGTTGGCTGCTTTACATTGTTGTGATGGGGCTGCACTGCTTGGGATGATTATTATGTTATTTCAGGTTCTCTATGTGCAGAAAGGAGAGAGCAAAGAAATGAAAATGTTATCAAAGCACTTAAACTCCATGATGATGGGCTTTCGATCTAGAACGGAAACATCTAAATCATCATTGTGGTGGTGGTGGTGGTGGTTCTGACAATTTGATCCAAACCCAAACAGGAAACATTATAACACATTTTTAAATAAACCATGTGGTTCTATTGCTACATAAGCAAACAATGGATAGGCAAAAAGTATAGAATTCTTGCCCTGATATTTATATGTTTCAACTAGTACTGGGCAGAATATTTCCATTAAGCAGTTTTTGAATGCTTACTACATGTGAGGCACAGAGATACTAGAGGAGTCAGTGTGAGGAGCATAGGTTTGAACAGCAGAGGCATCTAGAAAGTGTGTTGTGTGTGCTCTAAATACCCTTAGAGCCCAGGGCTGACACCAGTTACTTCTGCCCAGAGTCAGGGGTGAGGGTGGAAGAAAAGAACAAGAATGCTTCATAACAGGTCCAACCTCTGAATGGGGGGAACTGAATTTCAACTCAAAAGCACAAAAATACATTCCCTCCGCAGAGCAGTCCAGTGTGTGGGAGTTGGACCAGGGTTGGGAGACTGAGAAATGGGGTTGGGATTATAGGGCACGGTCTCGACTGTCATTTTTCCCCGTTTCCACTGGGGAGTCACTAGAGGGTGGTGTTTGTGTTTGTTTAGGTTTTTATAAAAAGGAAAAGAAGAATGTGGGCTGATTTGCATTTTAGAAAAACACCTCTGGCAGCAATGTGGAGAATGTTTAGCGGGCAGAGAAGCAGACGCTGGGAGACATCAGCCAGTCCAAGCTCATCAAGGCCAGCACTGTGGCCACAGAAGTAAATATGGAGAGAGAGGTGCATTTGAGACATGTTCTTGGTGGCCGCCGCCCCGTGGAGTTCCCAGGGAGGAACACGTCCCGCTGACTGGCTGGGGGTGCCGTCCGTCACAGAGGGACACGGGAGGAAGGCAGAGCGGTGCTACCAGAACAGGCCTGGCTTGGACACAGATCTGGAAGGGCTAACAGGATATATAAAACAGTCTGTGGATCTATTAGAAATTCAGACAACACTCAGTGGAAAAAACAGAAAGGTCTTGGTAGTGTTAAAAATACAGGTGAAGGCAGATGTTGAACAGCGGAGAAGCAAGGATAAGCAGGAGAGAAACGAGAGCAAAGGGCGACACTCTCTCCAAGAGCAGCTACACTGAGGTTGCTCACTGAGGAGCAGGAGCCCCACAGAGGCGGTGGGGCAGGAAGGCAGGGAAGGGCCCAGGGTGAGCTTCTGGTTTGGGGAAGGGTAGCAACAGTTGGTATAGGGAGAAGGGTTTGAATAAAATGGGTACCGGATGACATTTTGGAAAATGCACAACTGAAGGTAAAAATATTCGGATGGGTATCCTGGGGAGTGGGGCTCAGCGGAGGGGACTGACTGCAAAGGGGCGCAAGGAACTGTTCAAGGTGGGTGGATATACTCTATTTCAATTGTGGGGGTGGTTCCATGACTGTATACATCTGTCAAAACTCACAGAGCTATACACCTAAAAAGGATGGATTTTTATATTTTTAATACCTCAATTCACAAAAACAGGTACTGAGAAGAGCTTTTTTTTTATATTCCTTAGAATGGCCTCAGTGGTAGCAGCTCCTCAGTGCTAAGCCTCCTGGGACAGGGAAGGCCTTTGCTCACATGTGACAGCACAGACGGGAGGTGCAGGCACAGAGAGGGCTAACACCTGGGCACTGGGGGTGGTGAGGTGCCCACACAGAGCACGAACCGGTGGGCCTGGCTGAGGAGAGAGCCTAGCTCATGTCTGTCCTTTCTTGCCCTGGACAGATTCAAACCCCCACAGTGGCTCACTCAACAAATCTCTCAGGTAATGTGTAGAAGGCACTGTGCTCAGGGCTCTGGGGAGCCCCAAAATAGAGTAGCTTTCCTCTGCTGGCAGCTAGTAGAGATAGAAGTGAATTAACAAAGACAACGGTTTGGTATAAAAATTGCGCATCCATAAATGTTAACTAGTTGTTAATCAGTTAATACTCATAAAGTAAAAATCATAATATAATTTAAAACCTTTGGGGTCACTAAACAAATACACATCATGACTCTCCTCGCACCCTAACACTGCCACATCCACAGCCATGTCAGACCAGTTTTAGAGAATCAAAATTCTCTGAGCCGCCGCTCATGTGTGAACACTAGCTCATCCCTCCATCCCTCTGCCCCTCTGACGTATGACTAGTCGGGAAATGAACATGGAACGGTTCTGCCGGCTGGGTTTCCTGGAGCGAGCCCTCTGTCCCCGTGGCAGTGTGTCCACAACGGAACACTGCAGTGAGCAGCAGTGCACCGTGGTAAGGGCCTCCTGAAACAAAGAGTGAGGAGCAGGGAAGGAAGTGGTGCCTGCGTAAAGTTCCTGGAGGCTGGGAACATCGTGGAGGCTTGGCCAGAGAGGTCCGCCTCCTGTGACAGCGGGAAGCTGCAGAGTACCAGGGCAGACGCACTGTTGGTGGCCAGGATCGCCTAATAAGGGCTGGTATTTACTTTTACTTGACCCCGTCCTGGGCCCTGCCAGTCTGCTAAGATGCTTCTAACATTCATCACCCATGTGGGAGATGCTGTATGGTAACTTCCCGCTGAGATGGCCCCGGGAAAAGGGGAATGGGGACATTGCGGGGCTGGCTTTTGCAGGTGGGAACATTCTAGCACAATGAATCACTCTTAATCACTCTACATGTGCTTATTTGAATGCCTTGAAATACATATCCATCTATCTGGTTAGAAAGCCCAAACTGAGACCTCAAAATCAGAAAGCTTCTCAGCATTTCTTCAGTGCTGATTGATTCATTCGTTCATTCATTCATTCATTCATTCGTTCGTTCGTTCATTCCTAGGACATGTAAGGTGTTCTAAATCACACGGAGGTGAACAAGATCTAGTCCTTTCCCCCACATACCTTATAATAGACTCTAGTAAATAAAACCATGCAAGTACAGCATGCTAGGGGCTTTATAGCAAAGGAGAAGTCTCCTCTCGGTGTGTCCTCAAGGGAGGCACCTCCCCCACCACACCAGGCTACTTAGTAGGTCTAAAAGTAGAGAATCTGAACATAGGCAAGTCCCTCCTCAGGCAGTAGACATCTCCAGCCTTGCTATTATGGGGAGATGAGAAATGCCAGAGAGTTCAGTTTCTTTCCCCTCCAGCTTTAGCTTTCTAAATACTTAACTTTTACCTTCCATCTGATAGGCCAAAGTTTTCTCCCATTTAATTATTTTATCAAGTTCTGTTTGGTTACTGCTTTAATTGGTGTTGATCATCACAATACAGTAATGCTAATGAGTACCACTGACTGGGGTAGACTTCACGTGTATATTTCACTTTCCCTGTGCTGTTTCTATAGAAGCACCCTGTACATGGCCACTCAGCTTGTGGACATCTAAGTCCTTTGCTACTATTAATGCATGTATTTGCAGCTTTTTCCATCTTGCTAATTTTTCCTTCCTAAAATAACTGTCTTGTTCCTACTAAGTTCTGTATGTATTTTTCCCTTTCTTTAATGACTTTATATTTATATATTCTTCCCAGCATATCACTGAAAGCTACAAAATAGAATAAGATTCTTGATCCAACACATCGCCACTTAGTACATCTCCTTGAAGAAATAGTTTAGCAAATATAGATCTTTGATGGAAAAAAGAGCACATTTTTTTAAAGATTTTTCAATCCCAGTATTCTAAAGATTACTCTGTTAGGTTAAGGTTCCAAAATTACTTCAAAGCTTAAGGTTTATAGTCTTCAACCTAATAGCTTATAAAACTGCAAAACAATCTTGTGCCAAAAAAAAAATTTAGTAAGTGGTCTTTGTCTTGTGGTCACATTGTTTTGACATTGTCTTCATGTTTTATAATTTACAAGGGCTGTTTAAACATTTGGCAAAAATTTCATGACATAAAAATATTATTATGTAAGCAAAGTATATGAAATGATATTATTGAGAAGTAAGTTACATTCCATATAAAAACAGACTAAAAAGACACCAAAATGTTAACATGGGGCTGTGATAATATGAGTAGCTTTTTCTCTTTACTTTTCTGCTTATTTCAAGTCACTACATTGAACATATGTTACTTTTATAACATGAAAATACAGTAAATAGGGAGATGAATAACTGAAAATACTTGGAAAAAATGTTTAACTGGGGCTAGTCGGTTGTACGGGCGTCAGAACCTTTGTAGCGCAGGTGGAACCTTGCCTGTCCTGGCTGTTTTGCGGAGTTTTAACACCTGAGAAGCTGGGACACCAAAGGAAGGACAGAAGAGCTGGAATGTTCCCACAGGACATGCGCTCCTGAGAGAGGCCTGCTAGTTCTGTCTGCTGTTTGCTAGCCTCACATTCTGCTAAGGAAATTCAAGATGGTTTTTCCATGTTAATTTCTCCCAGTGCTCTTCTTGCCTGAAGTCAGGGATGGAGAGAAGCTGAGAACCTC